ATACAAGAGCGCAAATCTGCTTGTCTGCGCTCTCGCATATTCCTCTTTGCTGCTATACGAAACAATGAACACAGTGCAATGGTTACTAGATGTTGTTTCGTATAGCAGCTAAGAGGAATATGCGAGAGCGCAGACAAGCAGATTTGCGCTCTTGTATATTGCTGTGATAGTTTTAGAAAATGTTCAAAGAGGGAAAATGAATAGCGCGAATAAAGGCGCTGCTCTCTTGGAAGACCGCCGATATAGCAAAGGGATAATGTTCAAAAATATCATTCTCCAATGGTCAGATCTATTGAATAAATAAAATGGAAAATATCCACTATTGTTTAACTTAATGTTGAAAATATTTTCTTCCGAATTTACATTTTACAAGCTTTGTTCCATTCAGAGTAAACCTCAATTTGGTGTGAATCTTCAATGAAATGTAGTTGTTCGACTATTTTTCGAATGAACGCGATTCGAAATACGAAAAATTTCAACATTTCGAAGCGCTACCAACTTCAGTTCGTAGAACCGAACTCTCGGTACATCAAACGTCATTACTCATCATATTTTACTGCGCAATAGCATCCTCAATGCTTAATTCACACTTTCGTTCTGCTTAAATCATAATTTTTTTGTATTTTTTTTACAAAAACTATCGCTTGATAGAGTTTCCATTGTTTTCCACAGAGATAATCGACTTTGAATTAGATTTTGAAAGTCATAACATAACCAGACCAAGCAGGCTAGCGGTCATAAGTCCCCAAAATTATCCATCCATCCATCCATCCACGTGTGTGTCCATCCATCCAACTGTGGACACTTTTTGAATGGATGGATGGATACGGTCGATGCATGGATGGATACGGTCGATGCATGGATGGATACTGATGTACGATGGATACTGTTGGATGATGGATGGATGGATTCGTTCGATGGATGGATGCATCATGGATGGACAATGGATGGACTTTCACAAAGACAAAATGATATATACAACATTTTATGACATTTTTATGTCAAAATTTGAGAATATTACTTTTCCGCAAACTTTGTTTGTTAAGGAAAAGTATTGGTTTTACTACTCGAAATTTCATGACACCTTCTCATACGGACCACTATAAAATCGCATTAAACTGTTTCTAGCGCATAACTGTACACTAGGCAATGTAAATGAGTAAAAGACTGTGTCTACTGTGGAAAATATGTAAAATTGGAATGTGCGAATGACTTCGTTCGCGTGTTTTGTTCGCCTTATATCACAACCACAAGATAATTGAGATTTGTAAAGCCAGAAGTTTAGACATGTTGAGACGAAGCTTCGGATTGAAACCCCTTGTAAATGGTACATTTGTATGGAAACTTATCTAAAAAACCATTTTCAGGGTTTTGATAAAAGCAAACGTTATCCTCGTCTAATACCATTGATCTTACATGTAAAATAACAACAAGAAACGACAAAAGTGACCTCTCGTAGCGGTACAGTTGAAACTAACGAAACAAACATAATTCAACATGTCATTTTCATGTTCAGTGTTGGTTCTGTTGTTTGCCGTATAGCCGAAGAGAGATGTCGACAGCTTAGTGGCATTGAATGACATTCAACAACTATGCGAAGGTCCTGCATCTAAGCGTCTGACAGCTCACTTCTAGCGCTACGAGACAAGTGTCAAAATTTGTGACACAGATCGTTCAATGTATTATTGAATCTTTTTTATATTTGTTAATTAAGTAGACAAGAAAAATAAAAATGTCACGAATGTGCAAAATTGATTTTTGTGAGAGCGTAGCACGTGATAAACATCAATTTTATAAGTAAAAAATGTTTCTTTCATTACGGAACATTGTTGATGCGTTCAATTTGTCGCGTTCATGAGTGCGTCTAACGACGTAAAGAATTGAAATGAACTTCACTGAATGCTCTCATCGCAAATTCGTGTTTTACTTTGTTTTGTTAGTGTGGTGCAGGGGTTGTGCAACCATGGCAAACCTATATTATCTTGCAGAGGTTGTGTATTTGCTGCTGAGTAGGCCTGAGCTTAGCTAAATTTGCTAACTCAGGCGCCTGAAGTGTTATTTCAGCGCATTCACGGTGGGATGATAACGCATTCGCGGTGGGAAGATACGTGGATCTTTGATATCAGTGACATCATTTCACCGTGAATGCGTTAAAATAACGCTTCAGGCGCCTGAGTTAGCAAATTTAGCTCAGCTCAAGCCTATTCAGCAGCAAATACACAATCTCTGTTATTTTGCGAAAATAATGGGAGTTTGCTAACCACCACTTTTCCAAAATTTGATCTGAAATCCATTTTTTTTTCAAAATTTTCACAAAAAAATGACACGTTTATATGGATAGATGATGGAAATGATGATTTTTCAAGGTCAAATCTCAAACGCGATAAAATCGGTCATAAAATGGTCCCTCCATCCATCCATTCACTCTGCAGTTTGACCTTCTCGACGAATCGGCTATGGATGGATGGATGGATGGATGGTTAATATGAAGAACAGACTAACCGATTCGTCAAGAAGGTCAAACCTGCAGAGTGAATGGATGGATGGGTGGATGGACGGATGGTTGGATGGGTGGATGGATGGATGGGTGGATGGATGGATGGGTAATATGAAGAACAGACTAACCGATTCGCATGGTTGTTGAATGTCATTCAATGCCACTAAGCTGTCGACATCTCTCTTCGGCTATACGGCAAACAACAGAACCAACACTGAACATGAAAATGACATGTTGAATTGCGTTTGTTTCGTTAGTTTCAACTGTACCGCTACGAGAGGTCACTTTTGTCGTTTCTTGTTGTTATTTTACATGTAAAATTAATGGTATTAGACGAGGATGAGGTTTGCTTTTATCAAAACCCTGAAAATGGTTTTTTAGATAAGTTTCCATACAAATGTACTATGAGACATATTTTTTTGGTATGAAACGGTCACTAAAATTAAGAAATGGTTACTGAAAATCTGGAATTGGCTGTGAAAAAGAGGAATTAATCTCCAAAAATATTGATTAAAAAAAATTAAATGGTCACTAGAAAAAAAGATATGGAGTCGAGGGGCGAATTACTACTGAAAACCGGTTTTCAGTACTTTTCAGTACCTGCGATCGAATTTCAGTAGCGGTTCAGTTTTTTCAGTGCCTAGTAAATATATGACTTTTATTGCAGTTCAGTATTGTCAAAATTTCTTGACACTTTATTCTATTTTTTTTTTAATGTTTGTTTTCTAGCATTCGAAATGGAAATTGAACGTATTTCATCGAGAATAAAGTCCACTTATATTTGAATTAGAAAAGTCTAAAGACACAATAAAGAAGCTGACATCAGAAAAGAGTGATTCATGTCGAAAATATATGTCTGGCAATTTTCGTCGAATGAAAATTTCTATGACATTGGTGTGTGTATCATCAACTCTATGAAATGTCAGTGGGGACTTATGACCGCTAGCCCATTTCGCAACGTCAAGTCATACTGCAATGAACCGATCAAGCAAATCCGCTTGGGTGATACCACATTATCAGTCGCGAAAGTTAATTGTCTCAAAAAGCTTCTACGCACCGTCGAATGTGTAAAATTGGAAAGATGCATAATCAACGGCGATTTGAATTTGAAGCGAATTGGGACATGTTCAGAACGACAAAGATTAAATTGGATTTGTTGGCGATTTGGTTTGATTCGGCTAGTGTGATCGCATTTCGTGACAACTTGAACTCCCTTCAAGAACGTGGTGTTTTTCAACGATTGCACTGGTATTGCAGATTGGTATCTGCTAACGAAGCTTCATTGAATGCGCTGGAAAAATTGTCAGTTGGTCATTGGAATCTTGGTGAATGTGCTACCATTTCATCACTTTTGGTTAACATCAAAGAATTGATCATCAGATTCTATCTCAATGGATCAACAACTATGGAAACAACAGCTCGTAATCTGGTGAATCTCGAACGTGTTTATCTCGGTGAACCAACATGCGAAGCAATTGCGCCGTTCATTCGTCACTCAGCCAAGTTGAAGAAAATCAAAGTAAAATGTTTGTGGAGTTTCACTAAATCTGGTCTTGACCTCGCGGCATGGAATAAGGAGCGTGAAAAGCTGGCTGGAGCACGAAAAGTCACAATCTATGTTGCAGAATACATTTATTTGGCAACAAAGTGGGCAACGGACAAAACGGACTACAGTTTGATCGAATTGAAGCGAAGAAACTCATACGATTGGGATGACAATTTCGATTTTAGATTAAATGAATAGATCGTGTTCCATTCACAGAAATTATTCCACAAATTGCGATACTTCAAACGTACATTTTGATACAAAAAGCGAGAGCTTCCAATTTAGATCATTCATTTAGGAAAAAATGCCAACTTTTTTCATTTACGTCAATATCCAAAACTAACATAACCATAAGAAATGTGTAGAGACAATGCAAAAAGATATGCCGATTTGTTTACAAACGACAAAAAATAAACAAAACAAAAATCTCCATAACTGATGTATTGGCAATGTAAAGCTAAATGGCGAACGTATTCTTATGGACTATATATACTATATAGTGACACAGTGGCAGAATTGTTGGCAAATAACGGTAAATGAACAAAACGAATATCTCATTCCAGCAATAAATAGCTGGCAAATGCGTTAGAACTACACAACGCATGAAAAATATCGGATAAATTTATTCGATATTTGAAATTTATATAAATAAATGGATAATTGAAATTTCGTCCAGAAAAATGAAAAAACCGTCCAAAATTTTTATAAAATCGTCCAAATCTGTTTTCGTCTCCAACTCTGAAATTAGAATTTCGTGA